TCAAAATGAACAATTTACAACATGATCTTCTAATTTGTGAAACGCCTGTCACTGTAATAAGCAACCACAAACTGACAACAGTTGTTAGGGATTGATCCACAGGGACACTGCTTTGTCTGTCTTTAATGAAAGGGCATGTTTTTACTGTTGTTTTGTTAATTATATATCTACATACAGTAGATTGTCAACTTGCCATAAACATACAAGCTAATGCTTCTCCACTTTAGAAAACATCTAAGGTGCATACACATGGCCACATTCAAAAGAAATTCTTTTGATGTGTAGAGCATAAAAGAGGGAATTTACCAACATCACAGAAGGCAAATTTCATCCTCTATGATTCTTACAAATGTCCTCCACCCACGTCTGGACGTAGCTACTGATTTCCCTGTGGTCCATCACAGGGGAAAAAGTAGAGCTTGTTGTTCACACATGACCTCTGACCTGCCACTGGGGAGCCAATGGGGGAGCAGCTTGTGTCCTGGGAGCTCTTGCCCTCTGATGTGATGGCTCCAGGCAGTGGGCTTTGCGTGAACCCATCCCCCATGGCACCCCTCGCCACTAGATCCTCTGCATTATTCATACTGCCCAATGCGGGGTGGGGAGAGAAACAGAATATGGAAAAGGAAGCATCAAGGTTCAAGACCTTCTCAGATCACAAGGAACTTCTGCTTAACCTCCCTTGAAGTGGCGAACACAGGAATAGAGCAGGTTTTTTTAAGGAACTGGATCTGAAAGCAGGACTGGAGATCAATGGGGGTTCCCTCGAGGCTTGCTGGAGATCACATTCACTGCAAGGTGATTGGTGAATCAATGTGGTTCCCATGGTTCGCTTTGCCATTGTGAGAACTGATCCTTCCTATTGCAACTGAACTGTCTTATGATCAGTTGAGTTTCTCTTATGTTCATAAGGAACCACTGTAGCCATCACCCTGCACAGACTGTGTACACAATGTGCTCTATGAGGGTAAGAGATCTCTCATTTGAATTACTGTATAAGAGCACAAATCAATACTGAGCATCCGTGTAACATTTTTCTTCTTTTTTTGCTCTGTGCCTTGCGTGGCATCTCTCTCCACTGCTTGCCAAAAAGACTCAGTCACTGCGTATGATAGGTGATGATTAGTGAAAGGCATATACATGTTAAGCTGTTAATCCCTAATGCACACGGTGCAATCTAACAATGCTGCACACTCTGGCTCTTAATACAGCACAGCACATAACCTGCTAATTGCCTAATTGCCTGATTTGTTTTAACTGACAGTGGTACCCTGGCCCATGACAAGGCCATCATTTGCTCATCCTCATTGTCAGCAATCTGCAAGGTGGATACCCCACTACACACCCACTACACAGCATCCAGCACCATAGTATTAGAGACTGCCATGAATTAAGAATGCATTGCAGCAGCGAAGAGATGAATAAATACAGCCGTTGCTAGATTAATTCTGAGAGACATGGAGGCAGGCAGATAAAATAAACTAACAGCAGAAGCTGTCCACCAGATAAAGTGGGTACCCCATCGTCTCTCTGCTGTAATTATTGGCTAATAGTCATTAACCTGGCAAACAGAGGTTTAGCTGCATTGTTTAAAGGACTCTGGGATGCATAATGACAGACTAATATGTCATAGCACTAGGGGAGATGGGGGAGGGGTGGATTAATGAGATTTTACTGGAGGGAGTGTACAAGAAGAGGTGGGGCACGCCTGGAAAATATAGGGGGAAGAGGGCCACATTAAGCTAATTGGAAGATGAGTGCCTACTTGTAAAAGTGCTTCTAATGGCATATTTGTTTCTCTCACAGCATCAGAAGGCTAATGCAGGGGAGTGGAGTTGTGAGACTTACTGTAGTAAGGACTAAAGGGGCTCGTGTTTGTCTGCAAACGTGTGTCAACACACTTTAAATGCTCATTTTATTATAACGCTTGCAGACGTTTTTTCTTATCTTTGTTTATTATTGTTATGGGGCTTACATTTTTCATCTACAACTGTACATTGGTAAAGTAACATTTGCAAAACATAGTTGTTAGAAATTAGGTACTGCAGAGGCTTTTAGGAAACAGCAACTGAAAGGCTTCTTGGCTAGAAAACACGGTAGTAGTTTCCACATGGCCTGAACTTTAATCAAGTTTGTCCCCTCACATCCTTCTCTGGACAGAATTGCTGCATTTTTGAATTTGTGTTGATTCTCTGCTCTAAACCTGACCCCAGCCCAAACGCTTGTTGACCGGCCTCCAAAACTCAATTGACCAGTGAACAAGGAGTGCTTGGATAGCCTCCTCTCAGACAGGGTCCAGTGCATAGCAGAACTGCTGACCTGTTCTGACAGCTGGCTGGCCCTTCCTAACACTAATGGGTTGCAGTTTGGCCGGTGTCATTGTGTTTTGGCTTTTGTTTGACTTCATGAGCGGGGAAGTGAAGGCACAGGGTTGGATGAGCAGAGGATAAAATAAATGTCTAAACCCTGTTTTCCTCAGTCAGTGAGGGTTGGATAACTGCATCTTGCTCTCATCTAGAATATGCTTATAACCTTGCAAAGCTTTCGTAGCTATATTTTGTGACATCACATATAGTTTGATACTATTCTCTAGCATTTGTTAATGATGCCTCCATTAAACTTACCTCCTTATAAGGAACTTGCAGTTCTAATGAATCTTATTTTAATCTCAAATTGAACATCAAAATGGAAAAGATACAAAACTGATATTAAGATATCTTAAACTGACTGAAGTTTAATGAAACACAGCCAAGTAGTCCATAAAATGCAAATAATCTTTCTGTATTTACTGCTTATGAAACCAAGACACGATTCACAAGATTAAAGCCCTTAAATTGCGTTTAAAACCTTTCCTGTGTCTAATCAGCGTTGGAACTCTAGGCTACCTTAGTGTATTTAAATGTGTAGCACAAATTAATCTTTTTTTGTCACTAGAAAATATGAAAAGATTGCTGCACTTCTTAGAGCCACAATATCTTAAGAAATATTCTGGTTGTGGAACTATTTAAAGATTCACTTTCTAATTTGCTTTCATTTTTTTGTTTCAATTAAATCAAATGGAAGTACTAATGCCCAGATGGCCAAGCAGTATGAAATAATAGTGTCCAGGCTAGAATTTAAAGTCATACCTCCAGGCTAAAACTCCAGAGCGCACACAGAATGAAAGTGTAAAATGTTTTTTAATGTATATTTAACAACAAATACCCCAGTGACTATTGATGTTTCGTCTCAGAAGAATCTATTTCTCCAGTATATCTGAGGGCATGATGTGAAACCACTCACACTTTTATTTTCTCTGTGTTTCTGCTCTTCTTCCTCTGTGTCTCTCCCGTACTATCTCTCTTTTGCTGTCTCTCTTTAAACATTTATCTTCTGTTTTCTCCTTACAGGCCCTTTGTGCTTTGTGATGTTGGTTTTTACAGCTTTTTACTCAACAGAGTTGCCATTTATCTTTTATAGATGCCAGTAGCTAGCAGCACATAAGAAATGTTACCATTTCAGTGTGACTAATTGTCATCGCTTGTGTTACTCCCTTGATGTCGCTTGCGTCTAATCCCCCAGGAGTCTGTGTGTGAACTGTAGTATTTACTCTGTCTCTTGTCAATTTCCATCTTGTTGACATAAATACCCATACCATCGCAGATAAAAACAGTAGCAACGGCAATTATGGCATGAGGATCATTTTGTCATCAGCGCTAAGAAGCAGGAATAGACGTGTGTTCATAGAAGAAGACAAAAGTACTGGATCAAACTTTCATTGCCTCAACCTTGGTAGCTAAACCACAAAGTGAATTCTGAAAATGTGCCCAGATTCTTTTCCCATAATCCCTTTCCATCTCTTGATGTTTGACTGTGTGCACATTTGCATGGAGTAAATTTCTTATTCTTTAGCCGTTAATAGCACATCTCCAAAAGACACTAGCCAAGTAAAGTGCTCTATTTGGAATAATGCCCGATTCCCAGTGAGTACCTCTGGTATCTTAGGATGGAAACACATTTCTCATCACTCCAAAGCCTCAAAACAAACTCATGGAACTGTAAATGCTGAGGGTTATAATAAATCATCTGTTGTTAAATTAGTTATTTTAGATTGCATGGATATTTACTGTCAACTGAAAGTCCTTCATCAGCTGACAGTGTCCCAAACAAAATGGTTATCGCAAAGTATTTCATTATTGAACTTAAGGTGATAAAAGGTGTGCATTCTTTAAACCTCACTAGCATATTGATAGGATTTATATTTAAAGTAGCACATGTTATACATCCTTTAGTTATCAATAACATAAAATCATGAAAATATCTCGGCTTCCAAATAAAAGGAACACAAGCTCTATTGCACTATTCAGGCATTCTCAAACACAACCTTAAATAAAGATGAGTTTTTCTCTTTTCTCTTTGAATGTCCAATGCCATTCCCTACATATATGGTGTCCTCCCTTAAGCATTTCACTGCCTTAGAGATAGACTAAGAAAAATGCCAGGAAAGCAAGGTACAGTTACTGGCTTATATTAATTATTCTATTATTTCTTTTGGCATTTTTTTTCTTCTGGCTCACATTGTTTTGTAAATATCCCTAGGAACGGTTTGTGTACAGAGGGAGTCCCAGCAAGAGTTCACATCTTTTATAAAGCTGTTTTTGTCAGTCTCACAGATTACCACCCCTGCTATGTTTGAAGTCACAGAGACCTGAAATTCATTTGCTTAAGTCTCAATTAAGCTCTCATGTCTGCGTGGTTAATGGTTACATTTGCAGGCATGATTTATAGAAAAACTGAATGAGTGAAGAGTGGATAGAAAAGCGGGACAGTGGAGGGGAGGCACGTTCGACAAAGCTCTGTTATTTACTTGTCGCTCCAGGGGCATCTGAATTTTATGAGCAGAAAAGCTCACCCTTACAAACTAACCCCTACTCTGTCTTCTCCTTTGACCACACTGATTATGCACGATCAATAAAGGTTTGTATTTTTGTCTTCTCTCTTGTCTCTTCTGGGGCATGTAGGATGCTGCAGGCAAGGTGCTGGACCGCTGGACCATCATGTCCCGAGAAGAGGAGATCATCACCCTGCAGCAATTCCTGCGCTTTGGTGAGACCAAGTCCATTGTGGAGCTGATGGCCATTCAGGAGAAGGAAGGTCAGGCAGTTACAGTTCCCTCTTCCAAGACAGACTCCGGGATTAGGACATTCATTGAAAGTAACAACAGGACCCGCAGCCCGGGGCTTCTGACACATCTGGAGAACAGTAGCCCATCCAGCATTCACCATTTTGAGAATATCCCCAACAGCTTAGCCTTCCTCTTGCCTTTCCAGTACATTAACCCAGTCTCTGCCCCCATGCTTGGCTTGCCCCCCAATGGCCTCCCTATGGAACAGTCTGCTCTCAGGCTCCGGGAGCCCAGCCTGCCAAACCAAGGAGAACAGGTGGAAACCAGTGAATCAGAAGTGTCCCTATCACCCTTCCGCACAGGTCAGAGTCCTAGTCGTGGAGCACTGGGAAGCATGAACAACACTGAACCCAAGACAGAACCCAGCAACAGGGCATCACCCATCTCGCCAACCCCTTCCACCCAGCAGGCTCAACAGCAGCAACAGCAGACACAGCTTCAGCAACAACAGCAACAGCAGCAGGGTCAACAGCAGTCTCAAAATCAACCTCAGCAATCGAACAGCTTGAGTGACCACCAGGTCCACCACCACTTTGTAAAGGACGAACAGTCGAAAACCATCACCCATCCTTCCTTTTCCTCCAAAATGCATCGCATGCGCCGCATGGGAGCCACCTCACGGAAGGGTCGTGTGTGCTGCAACTCTTGTGGGAAAACGTTTTATGATAAAGGCACACTTAAGATACATTATAATGCTGTACACTTGAAGATTAAACATCGTTGCACCATTGAGGGCTGCAACATGGTCTTCAGTTCACTACGCAGCCGCAACCGCCACAGTGCCAATCCCAATCCACGGTTGCACATGCCCATGCTGCGCAATAATCGCGACAAGGACCTCATCCGTGCCAATTCAACCCCTGGTACACCTGTCATCTCAAGCACCAAGAATGGTGGTTTTACTCTCACCAGCCCTGGAAGGCCACCACTGGGCTTCACTACTCCACCAGTAGACCCTATGCTTCAGTCACCCCTGCAAAGTCCACTGGTATTCCCCTCCCTGAAGTCAGTGCAGCCAGTCCAGCCTGTGCCCCCCTTCTACCGAACATTACTGTCGCCTGCGGACCTCGTCAGTCCTCCCGTGTCACTGCCCACCAGCCCTATCATGCCCACCACCACCAACAGCACCACACTGATGGACCAGCAACAGCACATCCTGGCTGCTGCAGCTGTGGCTTCACACAATAGCGTTCATATGTCAGAGACAGGACACATGTCCCACCGCTTGCATACACCTAGTGCCAATCAGGACCTCAGCACTGGCAACAGTGACCCCACACCCAAAAAGAAGCCTCGTAAATCTAGCATGCCAGTTAAGATTGAGAAGGAAGTGATTGACGTAGCGGACGAATTTGAAGACAAAGATGAGGATGATGATGATAACATCCACCATAATCACCACCATCACCAGTCATCTCTCCTTCACAACAATGTCAAAATTAATGGGAATTGTAATAGCAACAACAACAGTGGCAGTGGTACCAGAAACCACAGTGGTGGTAGTGGGCAGCAATCCCCTTCCCAGGATGAGATGAGTCCTGGCTTAGCTCTGAGAGGAATGATGAGACAAAGTGAAGATGAATGTCGGGAAGGGACTGGTAGTGACAGCAGAGGTGGAGCCTCTGAGCTCCGCTGTATGGACAGCTTTACCTCTGAGGATCAGGATCATGAGAGAGACTTTGAGAATGAGTCTGAAACCTCTGATTCCAAGATGTTCTACCGAGATGAGCTGATGGATGTGGAGGAACAGCAAAAACACGGCAGGAGGATACTGGACAAGGAACATGACAATGAGGGTAGTGAGGAAGCCCATTTGAGAAAGGAAATGGAGGGAAAAGGCCATTCCTCGCCCTCCCCTCACCAGCCTCCAATCAAGATCAAGGAAGAACTCAATGATCCAACTTATGACATGTTCTGCATGGGCCAGTATGGCCTCTATAATGGAGGAATGGCAGCGGCTGCTGCTGCTGCAGCAAGCATGGCTGCTCTGCATGAGAGCTTCATCACTTCGATGGGCTATGGTGCCAGCCCACCCAAATTCCCTTCTTCTCAATCACCAGAGGGAGATCCATGTTCAAGTCCTGACCCCAAGATCTGCTATGTTTGTAAGAAGAGCTTCAAGAGCTCCTATAGCATGAAACTGCACTACAAGAATGTGCACCTCAAAGAGATGCATGTGTGCACTGTGGCTGGCTGCAACGCCGCTTTCCCTTCCCGGCGGAGCCGAGACAGGTCAGTGCTAGAACTTTGCTATGTAACCATTTTATTTAAATGTAACTGTGACAGTCGCAGGTAGGTTTGCTTCAATTTTTAAAAGCTCTTATTATAATCTAGATAATGGCCATGCACAGAGTCTACAGTTTATATTATTTTTTGTTTTGTTAAGATCTAGTTGTTTTTACAAACGTCACATTAAAACATAGCTGTGTTTTTGTGAGAAATATACCTTTTTATTCCACGTTTAAACAAATCATGAAAGTTTATCTACAGTACTTCACTACTGCACAACATTTATCTGGATATGCTATCACTTAACATCTGTTAGCTTACTGAAAACTAAGAAAATGATTCAGGGACATCTGCTGTGTTAAATCAAAGTTCTGAAAATTAGGATGCCACAATGAGAAACACATACACACACATTTCAACAAGCACTCGTACATACCCGTCAACCCACGAGCTGCTGTATGTTGTTTACCTGCCCTCATCACCTCACCTTGTCACAGGGAGATGAAGGCGCATACATTAACATAGACAGGGGTTTGTCAAACCACTGCATTTTTTAGCGCATTAAGAGGTGAGGCTAGCTATACTCACCTGGGCTTGTTAGCACATATCAGTCCCTCACACTTACTCTGGGAAAAATATATGCTGTAGCAGCCCTGGCAGCAGGTTGATGCCACAACAAATGCTGGAGGTACATAGCATCACTGGTGTCCTGGGTTTGGACAGACTATCTAAGAGAGAACAATTATTTCTTAAATTCAGACATGCTCAATGATAGGTATTTTTCAATACTAAATTTCTAGCTATAAAGAGTATCCATTGCAAATTACAAATAAGAGCTGTGTGTGTGAATTTTTACTTGTGTTAATAGATTTTTTTTTTCCTTTACATAACACTTAGCAATACTATGTAACTGCTCTGTTCTTTAATGAGAATAGACCTCAAAAATAAATAAACAAATATCTTCTGTAACATCCACGACAAGTGACACTTTAGTTTAAGAAAGGGGCAAGTTACTACTTAATGCAACTGGGGAAAAAATCTATTCAAATGGAGTA